GGTCACAGCAGATGTGTCTTGCAGTATCGAGCCACCACTCCTTTGGATTGGAGTCGACCAAGTTCACTTCGGAGACCACAGCAGACAAGCTGATGTCAGACACTTCTTTGGAAATTGTGTCCACAGCATTGGCCTCCTTATCCTTGTTTCATTTTGGCAGCCTGCAATCCGCCGATTTGTGCCCAACCTTGTTGCAATTGAAGCACTTTCCTTGGAATTTCTTCTTGACAATTCCTCCCTCTGGTCCCAACTTGGATCCGGGCTTTCCTTTCTTTTTGGAGCTATCATGCTCCACCACAGCCTTAGCAGAGCTTGCGGTTGCATTGGAGAACTTCTTCTCAGTCCGTCTATTGTCTTCTTCGATGCGAAGCCTGACAACCAATTGCTCAACAGTCATCTCTTTCCTCTTGTGCATCAGATAGCTCTTGAATTCCTTCCAGGAGGGGGGTAGCTTATCAACCAGCGCAGCTACCTGAAAGGATTCACTAATGGCCATTCCCTCAGCATGTATTTCATGAATTATCAATTGGAGCTCTTGAACTTGACTAATGACAGTCTTCGAGTCCACCATCTTGTAATTCAGGAATTGGCCCACTAAGAACTTCTTAGCACCCACGTCCTCAGACTTATATTTATGATCCAAAGATTCCCATAAGTCCTTAGCGGTTTTCTTTGAGCTATGCACATTGTAAAGCCCATCAGCCAAGCCGTTAAGCACATAGTTCCGACACAGAAAGTCAGAATGGTTCCATGCATCAACCGCGCGGAATGCTTGAGCATCCACTTCATCCTCTCTAACAGTAGAAGGATCCTTTTTCAAGAATCTCACAAGATTCAATGTTGTTAAATAAAACAACATTTTTTGTTGCCAAGTTTTAAAATTCAGTCCACTGAATTTATCAGGCTTTTCATTGTGGTTCACAGGAACTGAGACCGGCGAAGGCCGCGTCGAGGTCAAAGTGGGGGTCAGGACCGAGACAGACGTTTGTCCCACAGGTGACGACATAGGTGTCATAGTGTTGCTTCCAGCAGGAACAACCACATTCATATTATCAGCCATTTCTAAGAACAAAAATTTCCAAGTCAGTAAGGAAATTGGCAGAATTTCAAACAACCATAAAAACGTTTATATATATATATATATATATATATATATATATATATACTGAAATAGTGGATAATACAGAAGAGGAACAAGTTAAGGAAGAACAAAATTGAAATTCATACAATTGTAATTCAACCTTTTTACCAAAAACTCATAAATGAAAGTTGCAAGGATGTCGAGGCACGTGGACCACGTTTTCCTTAAAACAGATTCATCCCCTCCGGCGTGTGCTTGAGGTTACGTTGTACGTCCGTCTCCCAGGATACAACGACAACGACGGTAGCTCGATGCACTTTCGGAACCGTCCGGCGAACTAGAACTTGATCTTTCCTCTATCACCAAAACCGAACTAAACAAGACAAAGAAAACACACAACTCTGGAAGCAAGAGAGAAACGGAGAGAGAGGAAGAGATTTCTGGAAAAGTATGCTTTGTTCATTTGGAGTTCGGCCTTTATATAGGCTCCAAAATCTGGGTGTTACACCAAGACATTAGGGTGTAATAAGCCAGATTTATTCCAGCCATTACTCTGCAAAATAATGGAGCAAAACGTTTTGATTTTCCATGATGAATCCAGCCACAAAGCATATCCAAGTTCAAGGAAAAACTGATGCAATAACAAGCTTTTATCATCACAATTAAGCTTAGTTTTAAGCACACTATTAAGCCCCTTTTAATCACCATTATGCTCATTTACCCGCCATTATGCTAAGGCTAAACGGCTAGAAGAGTTAGCTGAAGCAAAAATAAAAATTACAAAAGTGAGCTCGCACGGAGCGGATTTTTCAATCCGGCATTCGTGTCCGCACACATTAGGCCCCAAACCCGTCGGGATCGTGATTCGATCTCCTCGCGATGGAGAACGCAAATCCATCGAGACCCGTCCCAAAAACTTATTGGGCCCTATCCGAATATGGGTCTCAAAATGGGCCTTTAAAATGGCTTAACAAGCCATTTTTCTAACAAATCTAGCCCATATTCTTGTATAGATCATATAAATAAATATTATTATAACTACTACGAGACAGTATATATGTAAATTCAGTGCAATATTTATGCGTGACATATCCACTAAATACATATGATCAAAATAAAAAGATTATGCAAAATTTTGGAGCTCTTTTTACTTATGATGATTACATCTGGTCAAAATAAAAAGAGCATGCAAAATTAATTAAGTTTGTTACAAAGATAATAGTTTTAAAATAAAGCTATGGCGTCAAAATATGTTTTCTTACTCTACTGTAAGAATCTTACTAATTTTCACCTTTTTTGCTTTAACGCTAATTTTCACTTCTTTATTGCTCTTTAACCCTAGGAATTTTTTCCAGCTGCTATATATAAAAATATACATATATATATATATATATGTGTGTGTGTGTGTGTGTGTGTGGGCATGAAGTTTTGGTATGAAAGTGACTCAATTCTACATATTTTTGTAGATGGGTTTAGAGCGCTCTTATTAGTCAATCTATCCCATCTACTTGTATAGATATATAAATATCCATTATTATAGCTTCGAGACAGTCAGTATACATGTAAATTTATACATTGTTCTTTTCATAACTCAAGATCATTTAAGCTCTATATAGTGTTTTTTCTCTAAAAAATTCAAATTCAACTTTTTTATTATAATATTTTTCTCACATACACAACTCAAATTCTTAACTTAAGTTATGAAACAAACATACTTCTGCGTTACCCACTCATTAAGGGCCCGTCTAATTCGTTGATTCAAGTTTTTAATTCGAGTTGAGATGTGACGTTTTGTGATAGCTTTTTACTGTAGCAAAAAAGTTAGATGTGACTGTTTCTGAAAGCTTTTTACTGCAGTAAAACTCGAATTCTAAATTCGAATCGGTGAAATGAACGGAGCCTAAACATGTGAAAGTAACGCAATACATGAGTTCTTATTGCTAAGATGCCCTATTTTTACTACAATATCAGCCACAAGTTTTCCATGATTTAAAAATATGGGGAGACTTTGTGACAGCGCCAGTGCCGTGGAAATTATATTTTTGCCACAATATATGCATGCTTATCATATATACAATGATACATATATATATATATGTATATGTTTGTATGTATATTATAGTACTCAATTTATATAGTTAATTTTTTCTTGAATCTTTTAACGTTGCAAGTATTGAAAAGAGACATTTCCTTTCGCTAAAGCTTTCGAGCATCTTAACTAGTAGTTGATCGACGTAATAGTGAGTCTTACTCCTGCACATTAATTGATTAATTAATTGCCTCGAGTGCTAGCTTTTCCTTCTATTATTGATCATCAATTTGCATGCTAAGATTAAGGATTAGCCCTTTCTTATATTTCTGTTTCTTGTTTATGACTAAATATATATATATATATATTTGGCTGAAATGTTAGAGACCCTATTGTGAATTCTTGATATATTATTTAAATAATTAACAGGTTCCATGAGGTATCTGAATTTGATGAAGCAAAAAGAAGCTGCCGCCGGCGGTTGGCTGGCCACAATGAGAGGCGAAGGAAGAGCTCAGTTGAGTCATGTCATGGAGAAAGCTCATCAACCCCAAAAACCTCAAAATAGAATTCCACGGCTTGCAAGCAATTTTATATGAGATCATGAGAACGTTATATAATATAATATATATATATATATATATATGTGCATGTAAGCATGTAAGCATGTTCTCTCTCTTCTGTCATCCTATATATGGCGTTCTTATAAACGTCTCTACATATATTATATATTATAACAAATTATCATCAATAGTATATATAATAATCGTATCAAACAATCACTATATTATAAATATATATATAAATATATATTTAGACACTTGTGTGTATACTATAATCTCATGAAGTTGGTGTTTTGTTTGCATGCACCAGTTGTTCTATGGTTGATGTGGTTCTATGTTTATGTAATAATCTAGCAATCTGACATTGGAATTTTGAACTTACTAGTCTTAAGAGATAGCTTAATTATTAATTTAAAAGTGCACTTTTAGGCACCTTCTCTTTATTATTGAATCAATTTCAGATTGCTTTTGAAGTCTTCTCATGCGTATAAATCATTGTAATACGTTTGGTAAAAAAATACATATTGTTCATACATTTTGTCAAATATCAATACATTTTTACCTTTGTTTTAATTTTTTGTTATTTTAACTTTTACTTCTATTTCTACTACAAATTAAAAAAAAAAACGTTTCTTTTTTTTTTAAAAACGCTGTAATTCCAAACCAAAGTAAGGAGTTATATTATAGCTAAAAATTCCCCGGAGATCGAGTGTAGAAGATGGCAATAAATACTTTTGTCATCTTGGAAACTTTTTGGCACATAAGGACCTTCTCCGATAAGCACGGAGCTAAGGTTATCCCAGTAGGGGTTTAAATTTTTTTTCTTTTTAAGTTTTATATATATAATTAGATATTATATTAATATTAATATTAATAAGCCCCTGATACTCCAAGTACATAAATAGATATTTATTTTGATTAAATTTTTTATTTAGTTAATAGCCCCACTAATAAAAATTTCTGACTCCGTTTCGGTTCTCTAATACGCCAACATATCGATAGGTCATATTTTCTGTCCACCGAATCTACATAAAACTCAAAAAATACACAGATTTAACAGTTAAAAAAACTTAACCGTACACCAAGCGTATCAAAAAATCTTTCAGAATTTTTTAAGAGAATCATTTTGGAAGAGTACGTTTGAGATCATCTTGCTTACTAATAATAAGCTCTGTAAATTGCAGTTAAAACTTCAGATAAATTTCTTAACACTAACATTTTCCTCAGAGTTTGAGGTCATCGTGTTCACTAATACATCTTTCCACTTGAATAAGCTCAATAAATCACACTTCAACTTCAGATAGAATTACTTAACACAACATTTTGGAACTTATTACATTTAGCTTCTTTTTTTTTTTTGAGTAATAGAAGTTATGAACAGAATATTCGCTCATAAAGGCTTAAAGAAAGACATGATTAGGCACAAAGCACAATTCACTTCATGATCAAAGTTGTCTACACGCCACAAAAAAAAAAAAAAAAAAAAAAAAAAAAAAAGGGGGGGTTTCTTCAATCACTAAAATCTAACGACAACAACAGAAATATCATCGGTGCTCTTCCTGTTGAGTGCCTCTTCAGTAAGGGTCTTTGCTGCTGAGCGAGCATCTTTGATTTGTCCAATGGCATTTACAGCTTCTTCGTTTGACATCACCTAATCAAAATGTCAAATGTCAATGCTATATTCAGAATAAGATAAGTGTGAAAAAAATGAAATCACTAAAATCTAACGACAACAACAGAAATATCATCGGTGCTCTTCCTGTTGAGTGCCTCTTCAGTAAGGGTCTTTGCTGCTGAGCGAGCATCTTTGATTTGTCCAATGGCATTTACAGCTTCTTCGTTTGACATCACCTAATCAAAATGTCAAATGTCAATGCTATATTCAGAATAAGATAAGTGTGAAAAAAATGAAAAATTTTATCATATCGTGTTCTACTTTGTGCACTCATATCTTTGTTTTTTAGGAGAATGTAGTAAATAGTACATTTTTAAAACTAAATTAAGTAAAAAACAGATTTTAAAATTATTAAGTAAACAAAAATTTACTTTACCTGGCGTAAATGGTTTGTTTACGACTAGTGAAATGTAAAAAGATTTACTTTCTACATACATAAAATATGTTATTTATTAATGAATCATTCACACGGTAACTGATTCATTTACTACATAAACTGCTATTTACTAAATTTAATTTTAAAAACATGCTATTTACTACAATTTCCCACTTTTTTATTACATCTGGAACTAAAACTAGCAAAAGAAAATTCTTTAATTTTTTTTAAAAAATTAAAAACAACATGTAATTATTAAGCCCAAAAAGAAATGAACATGGCAACCAACAAATTAAAAACCAAATGCAAAATTTGACAAATGTTATACTTAGCTTCGCACCTCGCACCAAGTGGGTATAACACATACTAAATTTGACATTACGTATAATGCCGTATTACAGAATAATTTTCTTACCAAATCCTAAATTTTGACATTAACATAGAGATTTGAGATTGCATTAGAAATGCTCTTATGATATCTCTCTCGCTCTATATATTTGCCAACTCTTCAGTCTGAAAAATTCCAACTCCAGAAGATATTTTTGGCACTTTGCAAAAATAGAAAATATCAATCGAGAGTTTCAAGAACCATAAATATTAGATGCAGAACTAAGACACGACACGTTTACTATGTTCAGATTTTTGTTTCCTCTTTTCAATTAGGGGAGAATGAGAGTACTCATATTACTCACAAACATGATGCATTCATAGAGACATGGAGTTATGAGTTTGAAATGTCAAATATAAACAAACCTTCCATAGTCCATCGCTTGCCAAGATAAGAAACTCCGTGTTATCATCGATCATCTCCACCACGACATGCGGTTCAGAACTGAGATGCTTCTTCAAACTCTTATCACCAAACGCCCTCGCCACCGCTAACTGGCCATCTACACGAGGAACGTCCCCTGTGTTTGTAACAGAGTTTCATAGTCGAAAACAGAAGTTAGAGGAAAGCCTAATAATAATCTCATTAGCTTTTGCAGACCGGATTAATTTAAAACTTCTCAAAACTAATGCGACGGATTCTGGGTTACTTATTTTCTAAAACAACAGATTGTGAAATTATAAAACCAATAGCAAGTTTAAAATGCCAGTTGTTACTGAATTCCTCTTACATCTACTTGCAGAAAATGCAACACAAACTCCAAATAATAAAGTTGTCACATCAAAATGAACCCTCAACTCTATACAAGGATATAATTAATAATACGGTTATCAAATTTCCATATAGGGAAATATAGTAAACTGTATAGTTTGCTATTGTTAAATAAGGAATCAAATTTACCTGGGAATTTGGACACAAAACCCCCTCTATTCTCAATGTGCTCTTTTTCAGAGCTTGCCTCATGGTCAACTGATAGTTGCTTGGCCCTGCCATTCTTGCATATAACGGCCCGAGAATCCCCAACATTGGCCACAACCAACTTTTGGCAATTGATCAATATGGCTGTAACTGCAGTTGATCCCCCTTTGCCCAGATCAACTGCCTTGTCCAGAATCATATCATCCGTCATTCGATATGCTCTCCTCACAGCTTTCTCAGGCTCTGCCCAGAAGTCTGGCTGTGAAAAAGGGAAAAAAGAAAGGAAGGCCAAAACATAAACCTACAATGAAAGACTGAAAGAGAAAGTAAAGGTGAGCACCCAATCCAATCCAATCCAGTCTTTTCCTATTGGACTAGATATCAGTTTTTCACATAACTAAATTTGCAATGTAAAAAATTACTTCAGCCCAATCATTAATTTTGAAAATAAATTAAGAAAACGAAGAGCAAACTTAAAATCCAAAATTTTTTGGGATATGGGTTCAAACCAAACATGTTTTAGAAATGGATCTGTTTTGGTTACCTAATCCATGGTCCCTACCTAATAAGAATTAAGAAACAAAACAGTATGCTTTTTGGATTGAATTGGATCGATTTGAATGATTGAATTTTTCAATTAAAAAAACAATCCAGTCTAATAATATTTTCAAGAATAGATCCAATTCAATCTGTATTAAGATAGAATATATCAGTCGGTTATCTAAGTATATCGGATAATTTGCTCACCACTAAAAGAAAAGAGAATAGATCATCTAAACCAAAATAAGGATTGGGAGTGCATTGCCAATTTTACCTCCTTTAAGATATTTTCAAACAGATGAGTCCGCAAGTAATTGGGGATCTCATGGCTCAAATGGCCATCAAATATCGCGAATAATCCGAGTTCATTGTCTTCAACTTGCTTGAACTGTGCAACAACATAGTCCTCCATAGCGTGATGGCCTTTCCCCTTCACCAAGTGGAAACCATGCGTGACGTTTTTTTGCAACTTGCTCTTCCCCTTCCCAGAGTCAGGATCTGATGAACCTAGTCCAACTTTTTCCTGTAAGATACGTACATTGTCAACTTAGATTTTGAGTAGAATAAATTGTGCCACAGAAACGAGCGCAATTTCGACACAAGGAACAAACTAATCCTCCTCGATGAGTCCTAGTGAAAAATGCAAAAGAAGAGGCCAGCAAAAACTATGAGAATGCAAAGAGGACTAAATGATAACTTTTCCTTTCAATGTTGTTAGTCCCTAAACTACTAATATTCTGATCATTTGATCACTTCAGTATTTTTATAGGCTCTCAGCTCTCTGATTTTATTTATTTTTATTTTCAGTTATTTCAGTTGAGAATGTTAAAGTTAATGATCCATTTTACCTATTTATTGCATGATAACTTAAAATTTTACAACAAAAACAGTTATATTAAGCACAAATTATTCTCCTCATTACCCTCAAAAAAGAAGGTTTTGCACTAAATAATAAGTTTTGAGGTTCTTTTTTAGTTTTTTCTTTCCATAGCCGGAATTAAACGATCAACAAGCATACTAAAGCATTTTACATAAACAGAAAGTCTCACTCAATAGTAGTATTTGACCCAACCATGCACACATTCTTTAGCAATCAGAATTAACAAAGAGAATAAGAAACAAGTGTTTCCTTTTCAATGTTTATTTTGTTTTAAAATGTTCCAATTCCCTTCATAATGTTTACTAAATCTTAGAAATTAAATATATATATATATATTAATACGACTATTCAAATATCCATTCACATAATAAATAATCATTTGACTAATAACATGTAAGCCTAATCAAATGTATAAAAGTAAATTTGATATTCATTCACTTTAAGCAATACCAAAAGGGAAAAAGAATTGACATTTCAATTTTGTCATATCTTATATTGTGCGGGCCTATTGAACTCTCATTATGAGAAACCAGACCAAGGGCTGCTTGTCTATACTCGGAAGAAGAAGCGTAATATTAGTAATTAGGCTAGGCCGATGTGATGATGTGGCTTTTGTAACTGATTCGGTTAGTTGTTAGCTTGAAAGTTAGTCTGTTAGCAATAAAGAATTGTAAATAAGGCTGAGGAGTGAATAAGGCTGAGGAGCCTATAAATAGGAGGGATCGGGAGAGGTTAGGCAGTTTTTGGGAAAAGTAGAGAGTTTGGAGTAGAGAGTCGGTGATCTCTCGAACATCACCATGGTAGAGCCTTGGATTCCTTGTGATTGAATAGAATCTCATTCTTTTGTTTCCTTTTCTATCAATTTGTTGTGAAATCTACCACTAACAAATAACAAATGACTAACACCACAAAGAAGGAAGCAAAAATTAAAGCAGACCAAAAGCCAACAGGAAAAAAATAGTAATTCATAATTAAATGCAACAAAATAAGGGAGCAAATAGGCTAGTTTCATAAGATACTTATCCTATATTAATAAGAAAATACAAACTAAAAAGATCCATTTACTAGAAAACAGAAAAAGAAATAATAAACTTGTCCAGAAAAGATTGAAGGCAATTATAGTATGTCAAAACTTTGGGCCCATTTGGTACACGAATTTAACCCATAATTCTGATTCTACTACGTTATTTTTTTACAGTATTTTTCTCTCAATAATTGGTTGGATCTCACATAAAGAATTTGAATAAAAAGACTCCCGGCAACGGTTCTCCCACAAAGAATTTGAATATGAATCAGAACCACCCAACTTCAACGCGTGAACCAAACGCTCTAGCCAAAAGGGGCCTTAAAAGCATAATGGCAACCTTGAAATTGGGTAGTTTATCGACCCAATTTTCAAGCTACAAAGTGCATTATTGGAAATCAGACCCAACTCTAAAGCTCTTTGTTCATTATTCATTCTTCACCATTTTGATCAACGTAAATGAACAATTTTTTATTTTTTTATTTTTTTGGAGGTGGATTGGAAATCAGATCCACAATTAGAGTGATCCGCAAGAAACCCAGAAAAAGAAATCCACAAAAACTCACAATTCAACCCAGAAGAAAAAAAAAACGCACCTTCATCTTGTGGAGGATTTCTCTGCCCGTCATGGCGTTCGTGGGCACTGAAGCTTCTGTATTTATATCAAGTACAAGGAAGAGTTTCTGAAGTGTGGAAAACAGAGTGGGCAAGAGAGAGAAACAGAGGAAAAGAAAAACAGAGAGAGAGAGAGAGAGAGAGAGAGAGAGGAGAAGAGAAGAGGGAAAGACAAGTGGGTGAGTGATGAGGATGAAGAGGAAGAGGAAGGGTGTGGTTGACTGACACGACCAGTGGATTACGCCGAGTTCTTTGCATTAACCCAGCAAGACACACGGTCATCCGTGACTTGTCTTTTTCGCTTTTTCTTTCTCTTCGATCTTTCATTTCCTCACTTTTTTAAAAAGATAAATTTTATTTCAAATCAAAGGGATTAAAAACTATTTTTACTGTTCAACAAACACTTGCCGTGTTTGAAAATCAATTCTTATTTTTATTTTACACGTTTTTTTAAGAAAGTGAAAATAAAAATAATTTTAAAATGACGTTTAATATAATTAAAGATAAAAAATGTAAATAAAAATAATTTTTTAATTTAATATAAAATTAGAGAGAAATGAAAAAAGATTTTTAGTTCTTTTTTATCTTTTATTTTCGTTTTTTACTTTCTCCTCTCTCGAGCAGAGAGAGATATTAATGAGTTTTTTATACTGAAAATAATCTCTTAATAAAACTATCAAACGTATTTTTAAAAATGATTTCTGTCTGAGATTGAAAATGTTTTCATTTCCATTTTCATACAAAAAATAAAATAATTTTGGAACGAGTTTCAAACGCACCCAATGTGTTTCTTTTTTTGCCCTTTAGTTTTCTCCTCTCTCAGACACGTGGATGTCTATTTTTTTTTCTTTTCTCTATGTTGTTGCCTGCGCGCTAGATCCTAGTGCGGGGCCTACTTCACCTTCCAGCATGCCCCTCTCCCTAACGTGACGCCACGTGTCCAAGCTAAATGGAGATATACACATGTAGCAAATCATCGATCATCTAAATAGGACCACTTTTGTCCTCTTTTTTAGAACCAAGTATTCTAAATATTGGGCCTGTTTGTTATTGTTTTCAATTCACGTTTTTCGAACCAAAAAATTGAAAACGGTACTAAGAAAATGCGTTTGGCGAAGTTTGTTTTAAAAAATAAAAACAAAACTGTTTTTGTCGTTTTGTGGAATTTTGAAAACGAAAAAAACCTGTTTTCATTTTCTGGTTTTCATTTTCGTTTTCCTTCTTTCTTCCGTTCTCTCTTCTTTTCCTTCTTTCTTCCGTTCTCTTTTCTCCTTTCTGATTTTTTCTGCCCTTCTTCCGCCAAGCCCTTCTTCCCGGCCAAGCCCTGCCGTTCTTCTCGTCCGTTTCGCCTGACTTCCGTCGTTTGCTTCTCATCCGAGCTCCTCCGTTCTGTTCTCGCCTGAGCTCCTCCGATCTCTTCTTCCCCGATCTGCCCCGTTCTCATCTCGTCGTTTTCTCACCGAGGCATGCCCCTAACCAAAAATGTTTGATGGTGTTTGATGGTTTTCCGTTTGATTTGGTTGAGCATTTCTTTCTAATTTTTTTTTTTCCGTTTTGACCCTGTTCTCGTCTCGCCGTTTGATTTGCTATATTTAACCAAATCGGTTGATAGTTTTCCGTTTGATTTGGTGTTGTTTTGTTTCTAATTTTGATATGCTTGATCTGATTTGGTGATTTTTTTTTCATTTTTTTCCCTAGAGGCCCCCGTTGGGGTTGATACAGCCCCTAGGGGCCTCCCATTGGGGCTGTATCAGCCCCTAGGAGGCCCCCCCCCCCCCCCCCCCCATTAGGGCTGAATCAGCCCCTGGGGGCCTCCCATTGGGACTGGCCTGGGAGGCCCCCATTGGGGCTGTATCAGCCCCTGCGTGTGTGTGTCTGTGTGTGTGTATATACTTTACAAATTGACATTTATTTTAATGATGAAAGTGTTATTTAAGATGTGTGATAAGGACGATAATACGAAATGACCGGCCGCAAATGAGAATTTTTATGTAGAACTGATATACGAATAGTCAAAGACTGAGATGCAAACATCCACTCTGGACAAAAAAACGTGGATGAAAATTGCTAATGAAATAGCACTTAAGTTTGGTAAGCATTTCACATCAGACCAACTTAAAGCAAAAGTGGAATAAGCTTAGACGTAGCACGAGGGAGTTTAAGGCATTAATTGAAACAACAGGGTTTGGTTGGGATTTTGAGGTTAACACTGTCACAGCTGAAAAAGAAGTATGGGATTCATATGTGGCGGTAAGTTTTGAGCATTAACATCTTATGTTATATGAAAGAGTTGAATTGGTTTTTGGATTGCACATGAGTATTTACTCTTGTTTTTTTTATAATGTCAGAAACATCCTGAGGCGAAGAAATTCAAGAAAGGGGGTTTGCAGAACTTTGCCCAACTTTCACAGATTTTTTTTGAGACTATTGCTACTGGACAGGGGTTAATGAATGCACATACTGCCGTTAATGTTTTGAATGCGGCGAAAAGGGCTGCCACACAACCGGAAGTGGAGGAGGAGGGTACAGGGGACTCGGATGAAGTCCGGGGTACAGAAGACAATAGAAACAGACGGTCTCAGGGTCCTACTACTCGATCCAAGGAGAAGGGCAAGAACAATACTGCAGTTAACGCGGCTATAGAGGCTTTGGCAAAGAGTGTTACCCTACGTAGTGAGACATCTGTTCAAAAGGTTGATTTGTTTCAGCAATACTTAGCTGATAGGCAAGCCCGTACTATGGCATTAGCCAAGGCTCAGAAAAAGGATCCAACTACAAGTATTGAAACATGTATGGATTTGCTGAATGGGTATAGGGAGTATTTAGACGACAATACGTATACTAAGGCAGCGCACTAGTTGGCTGTTGACATTTCCCTTAGGAGGATGTTTGTGAAAATTGCCGCTCCTCGTCATCTTTCATGGATTCGAGGCATGTAGTTTAAATGATTATTGTGTTGTTTTCTTTATTTGTTTCCTCTCAGACGTATGTTTTTTTTTAAGTATTGTTGAGCATTTACGACAGATTTTCCTCTTGGACTTGTGTTTGTTAGACTTTTGATTAGCGCCCAAAAGTGATATTCACAAGTGGTCAATTGTAGCACAGAAGGGCGGTCGTATCCACAGAGAGATAACAAAATAACAAGAAAGACTAATAGAATAAGAGCGTTAGAGAAAATTGAATTAAGAAAAAATGAGAGTTTTTGAGATTTTTGTTGCAAATAAAATAAAAAGGAGAAAAGATTTGTGTTGAAGAAAACGGTAAGGTGTCGAGAATCCCTAATGCTTCGTTCACCAATTTCAGTTTTGATTCACAAAATAAAAGAACTGAATAGATTAAATCTCTATGTTGACTCCGGAAATATTATTATTACAAGTTATCTAAAATCGACAATATATCAATATGACAATATTGCAGTAAAAGA